GAGACTTTTTTCTAGCTAGAAACAGCCTAGTTTTGGCTAATTTCTGATCCGAACTAAAGTCAGAAATAAATCATTTAGAGAAAATTCCTGCTTTCTTAAAACATTTCAAAAAGAACTTCTGGCAAGAAATTAGCGTAGATATAAAGTAATTCAGGTCAGAAAAAAAGAATTTTCACGGTACGGGTACAAAATTAACGACTGACTACAGTGTTGATTGAAACTATTCCCTAAAAAACACAAAAAAAACACAAAAAATTAAATTGCAGTTTTCTCAAATAACTTTTTTTTCAATTTGATACATAGGAAGTCAAAAAAATGATGGAGACAAAAAATGCTTCCCCAAAACCAATCAGTTTAGGTTTTTTAGTCAATCAAAAATTACCCCATAACATCAGGATTAAATGCTGACAAAGCTATATCTATATTTTAGCAAAACATTTTTTAAACGTTTCATATATAAAATGTTGTTCTATAGTAAAATTGTGTCAATTTTTGGTTTTGAAACAAAAATAATTATAAATATAAAAAAATCTGAAAATAATACCCTTCTTTAACTTCGTTGGGCCACATAAGAGGCTTATTTTGATATAGTTTTGTCAACAATTTGCTTGATTTCTCTGGAGTAGTTTTTGATTGAATAAAATTGTAAAATGGTCTGGGCCAGAATTTCGTAAATTGAATTGCAGCATAATAATTCTGCTAAAACTCCAAGCAAGTTGTGCCTCCGCATTTTTTTTGTCCTAAATCAATCCCACTTGAGAAGAACACGTTTTGTTTCTCATTTTGTCAGTATAATTCAAATCAGCACTGATTTTTAATTTGTTGAAACAGCGTATATTATTTGGAATGAAATTCACAAATTTTTCATATCTTTAAACAATTTTTTCATTACTCTATTCTGATGATGATCCCGGGTAGTTAACCAGATAAAAAATTCATTAATTATAAAAAAACCTGAACTGACAACGCCGTATGTTTATATTGCCAGGCGAGTGTTTGAAACCTAAGCTTCTTCTTTGAGACCTAGATAGAAACTCACGTTCATCTATTGTGTTTGTTCCGACCCTTGAAATGGGCAGGAGCTTTTTTTTCAGGTGCGTTTAAATTTTATTGTTTTTTTTTTGTTTTCCACGCAAAATTGGGAACCATAAATTTTCATCGGGCTGGGTTGAGTGGTATTTCACATTGAAGCCCTTTCAGCTGTGGTTGGAACCAAAGAAAAAATTTTTATAATTTTTCCCAGTGGTGATAAAAACCGGTTTGAATTTTTTGATTTTTCTTCAATTTTCGAGCAAGTGAGGCGCGCAAGCATACTTACTGAAGCATATTTACGCTTAGCTTAAGCCGTATAAACTTACTTTTATTCAGGTAAACTTAAATTTTCAAAAATATTTCGTGTATTTTTTAATGACCTTTTCCAAGTCATTTTTTTTTGAAAAACTGTTGCTTATGTTGCTTATTTATTTTGGCGTCCATTTTTCCTTAAATTCTAGTTTTTATTCAGATTTTTTAATCATACCACGCAGAAAAACCAGTATTTTGAATTAAAAACGTTTTCCCCATTTGAAGGTCCCGATGTGAATACAGTCTTTTTGATTTTCCTAAGAGACAATATTGTCATTATGGCTCGGCTACAAAAATTGAACTCTATTCAATGTTCTGTTTAAATTTTCAAAAAAAATTACCAAGGAGAAAAGAACAACAAATTTTGTAGACCTAATGCCTCTTTTTTAACTGTACAAATGCTATTTTCAGAGTCTCACTTGACCAAACAAAAAGATAAGCTAAGAAAAATTGTAAATGAGTACAAAAAATTGCTCTAGTTGCAAACTAGGCTATGCAAGTCCTACATTGTTGCGACCCTTAAAATTGGCGAGAAATTTTGTCTTCGGGTGTGTTTTAGCTTCTTCTTTTTTTGTTTTTCACCCATAAGCAGGTACCACGTTTACATAGCGGAACGGCTCGAACAATATATCATTAATATCAATGTTAAAGCCTTTTTAGCCGTGACTCCAACGATGCAACAATTTTTCAAAGAATTTTCCCAGTGCCGAAAAAACGGGTTAAGTTTTTGAGTTTTAGTCAAATTTCGAGCAATTGAAGCTATCAATTAACATTCGTTACAGAAAAGTTGATCATTTAGGCTACCAAAACTTGATTATAAAAAAAATCTCGAGCAATTAACTTCAAAAACTCTTACTTAAAATTTTTTACTTGAAGAAATCTGCCTAATTCTCTAAGTTTTTTCACGGTTGTATAATTTATTGATCTTAGCACGCGCAAAAACGACAAAAAATTTGCAGAAACTTCGATTTTATTGCGAATTTGGTCGGAACATTCTATGCTCCATTCAGAGCAGCCGGGTATAATTGTTTGAAATTCAGTTAGAGAAGATTTAAACTTTTTAACTTGTCTTGGGGACAGTCTCGGTACTTGATGTGTTTTATATTTTATTTAACTACTCATCTCTGCGCAGTTTCGTTATCGTTTTTACACGATCGGCATGTTTTGTTAATAAATATTCATTGCTATATTACTTTCCGTATTACTACAAGGCATGTTTCTCAAGCCTAATCAGTAACTTCGGATATCAAACCTTCAAACTCTTGGAGAAAACGTGTTGCAATTATCTTTTAGATTTTGAATCTTAACTGAGATGCATTTACTAATAACCCAATCTTGATCACATGCGCGCTTCCTTTAGGACACCTCAAACTGCGAGAAAAAAAAGAAACTCTAGCATGTAGCTCTTTTCCACTCTTCGAGTGGTCGAATGAAAAAGAGGTTTAAGAGAACAAGGTTTCCGGTAGCTGCACGACTACTGAAGAATGTTAAGTCCAAAATATATTATAAAAAATTAAGAAAAAAAAAGCTAAATTTACACAAAAAACATATAAATATTGGAAAAAGTCAGCTAAAATGGCTGAAATTAGAGATAAACATGACCGACAGACGAATGGAAAAGAGTGAATGAACGCAAGTAAACATAAAAAAAGCTGACTTGTTTTTTGAAAATCTTAACTGGAATTTCGAAGCTTTACTACATGCCCTTACAGCCCTTTGATTTCAAAACAAAAGCCAAACCGCAAAAAAGTAAAATTTGAGACTGAACAATTTTTGAAGACATTCAGAAAAAAATATTGCGACCTAATTGAGACTGAAATACGTTCATCGACTCTTAATAAAATTGGCTGAAATGATAAAAAAATGTTTGAATAATAATTTTCCCTAATCACTAAGCTGTAAATTAGTCTGAGCATGTAAACACTTCAGATCAGTTTTTCGTCACTGCGTGACCAGTTTTTTTTTCATCACTGGATGTTCGCAATGATGACTTGAAGAAGGTTTATAAGTTATGCTTGCGGTTAACCGATGTATCAGTAAATTATCATATCAGTATATCGAATCATGAAACAATTGCGTGACTGTTTGCATCTTATAAAGTATTAACTGAGCTTAAAATCAGCGCATCAAATTGGCAGACTGTTCACTCTAATTGTTAATTGTGTAAAAAAATTGATTTCTTTTGCTGTATTATCTTATTAAAAACAATGTTGCGCATATTTCCTAGGAATTTTAGGGGTAAAGTAATTGAAAAAATGCGATTACTTTGAAAAACACATTTGCGGTTTACTGAACACCTTTTTCAAAATTTTCGATTTACAGATCTGATAACTTCATTATCGGTTTATTGGTCTGGTCTTCCCCTTTTCGGGTAGCTGATACATCGGTTTACTGACCTACCACCAATTTATATGCTACTACACCTGATGCCGCTGGTGGCAGTAGAAACAATAATAACCAGCAGACATTTAGTAAAACGTCCATTCAGGGGCGGATTTAGGGGGGGGGGGGGGGGGGGCGGATGCCCCCCCTCAGGGATTCCACCCAAAGGGTTCCCCCTTTGATACTTTTTCAGAAATCCATTTTTGGCCGACCGACCCTAAAATTTTTCTAAAGGCGCCTGTGGCACCAATATATACTAACTTTGAGGGGGAGCGCGCGCCAAAAAAAAATGCGATTCTTTTGTCAAAATTTTTCAAAAAGTGCCCAAAAACGGCTTTTTTGACTGTTTTTTCAAAAATTTGCCTGCGGCGCAGAAAATTTAGCCAAAACAAGGGCAATCATTGCTTTGGGAGAGCTCGAAAAATCTATTTGGTCGACCTGAAAAAAAAGGTCATCAAAATTTTCGAATTTTTTTTTTAAATCCAACGGCCTCCCTCCCCCCCCCCCCTCCTCGAGAAAATCCTAGATCCGCCCCTGCGTCCATTAACTCCAGATGTCTAAAAGAAATAATGATTTTTTGAATTTTTTTTTCATGTTTCAGGTCTTCGATTTCCCAAAATTGAAGCCTTTATGAATATAAATTGTTTCGTTAAAACCAACCAATTAGAGAATTTCGGATGAATAATAGAATAGAGTTTATTCCTCTATATAACCTAAAACTAAAATCCACCTTTGAAACTAGAAAACAATCAAAAGTTTTCTTGCACTATTTGCCCTTTTTTATAGGAAAACGTATTATAGTTTCCATTTAGCGAATGAATTTGAAGTGTGCTTTACAAAAACAAGAAACAATCCTGTAAAACACAGTAAAATAGTTGCGCATTCGATCAGATAGTTACCAAAAGATTCGTCATTTCACTATAAAAAACGCGTACTTTAAATTCAATTCAAAACAAACATAACAGATACATATATCTAATCTAAATACAAAAACCTTCAAGATACAAGTACATTAGTGAAAATCATAACAAAAGCCGTCCTTCCAATTATTATTTCAAGGTTCAGCGCATTGAGTTCCATAAAACTTGATTACTGAAACTAAACTAGTTAGATTTAAATTCGTGATCTCAGAAACTATCGTCAATATGGGCCCCCGCGTAAGATCGAAAATACTTTACTTACTCGAAACATATGGAAACCTGATTGCTTTTGATGTTAATTTGTTCACAAGAAAGTCAATCTTTTACAAAAAAAGGGCCAGACAAAAAAAGTTCTTTCAACACGTTTACACCAAAAAAATAGAGGCATTGCAAATATTATTTAATTTTCATTGTTCCTGGGTCTAGCGTTGCACCGGTCGCTAGCAACTGAATTAGATTCCCCTAATATGTTTTTGAGCTCGTTTTGGTTTCAATAAGCTATTTGATTAAGTGGTTAATCCTATTCATAAAAACTTTGTTTGTAACAAGAACCCGTAAACAAACTTTTGGACAGTGGACGAACCTTTTGTATTGGGTCAAAAATAAGTTCCTACGTTGGAAACCTTTCTGGCAACTTTTGAAAGTGACTTTTTTCTCGACATTTAAACGAAATTGTTCAAAATTTTTTTTCTAAACATGAGGAAAAAAAGGAGGATAAAAAGGACCGTGCTCAGGAGCCCTTAAATGTCAAACACATGAGAAAAAAGTCTGTTGCTGTGCAAGCAGCGTTGCGGCAGAGACTAAACTGTAGCTCATTATAAACCATCGATTCGAAAACAATCCAGAACCACTGCACAGAGTGGCTCAGTATTCTAAGTTGGTATACTAATCCGGCGCAATGGTAGTTTTTGTGAACATCGTTCCCTGAGTGATTTTTTTTGAAATGCTGTCGCATGTACCTAGACGGCCGAAAATTGGCAATTTGACATCGAGAATGGACTTCCAAGAGCATTTAGCGTCCAGCTATGTCTTCGTTTTAAAATTTTAGTCATTAAAAACAGATTTTTAAAATAAGGGCTAAGCATTTTGGTGGTTTTTGTGGTGTTTTGGGGGAGCTTATTTAGGACATTTAAATTAAGTTTTTTCATCTAACAACTACACCGTTGTAATCCCCTGCTCATTTCTTGTCCGTAGCTACCTCATTTTTGTATTTTGGATCATTAAAAGTTATCAGAAACCTCATTTGAAAGTTTTGAAAAAGTTAGGTCTAACTTTTTTTTCATTTAGCTGTAACACCTGAACCAGTCAGATTAAGATCAAGAAACTGGTAATATTCGATCACATTTTGTCAGAGTTTTCCAGCCATGTATATATAACTTTATGAGGCTAACCCTAGAAAAATCACTTGGACCAGAAGGTCGAGTCCAACTCATAGGTTCAAAAAGTAAACTCGATAATCTACTTAGGTTGAAAAACCAAAATCTTACCTTATGTTCCAAAAATTATGAAGTTTGGAAGGCTCGTTTTACACGAGGACAACGATGAAATACTTATTTTGGCAGTTTCATACTTTTTGGATGGATTTTGGGCTTTTGAGAAATGGTGGTTTTTGAGGTTTTTCGTAATTTTGGCGTTTTTCTGATTTGTTCTCGTTTTTTTTGGGTTATTCAGGCCTATCGGGTTGAAAATATATGTTATCACGCTTTCCAACGAAATCAATAAAGTTTAAAAACTCGAAATATAACTTGGTCCAACATTTTTTTAAACTTCGCCCTAAGCTGGTTTTTAATATTTTTCTTCGTTTTTCTGAGCTCATATCCACTCTTTGATGAAAGATCATTCTTATTCGAGTAAAAATGACTGCTATGTATGAGCTAGACATCTACAACTGTAACCCGAAAGAACCAGCCAGATATATTAACCCTATAGCTCTTTTCACTAGACAAAATACTTTTGTAAAGTTTGAACTCAGACGAGGTTTTTTTTTATATTTTTGGGATTTTTTTTATTTGTTCTGTTTTCTTGGGTTATTCGGGCTTATTTGATTGAATTGATGTGTTATTGAGCTTCCCAACGAAGCCAATAATATACAAAAACTCGAAGTATAACTTAGTCAAAAACTTTTTTTTATTTAGCTCTAAGCTGGTTTTTAATTTTTTTTTTTTCGTTTTTCTGAGCTCATATCCACTCTTTGAGTGAAATATCATTGTTAGTCGAGTAAAAGAGACTGCTATGTATGTGCTAGACATCTAAGACCGTAACCTGAAAGAACCAGCAAGATATAGTAACCCTATGGCTCTTTTCGCTAGACCAGACATTTTTGTAAAGTTTGAAAGTGTGACTTTTTTGTTTTTTTTGGCATTTTTTTGTATTTGTTCTTAAAACTTTGTTTGATTCAGGCCTATCGAATTGAACTGTTGTGTTATCAAGCTTTCCAACGATACCAATTTTTTTTGAAAACACGAAGTATATATTTTCAAAAAAAAAATTTAAGTTAGCTCTAAGCTGGTTTTTAAGTTTTTTTTTTCGTTTTTCTGAGCTCACATCCACTCTTTAGGTGAAATATGACTATTATTCGATGCAAAATGACCGCTATGTATGTGATAGACATCTACGGTCGTAAGCTGAAAGAACCAGCAAGATATAGCAACCCTATGGCTCTTTTCATTGGACCAACTTTTTTTGTAAAATTTGAACTCAGAAGTGCTTTTTTTTCTGATTAAGGTCAGTTTCTTCTGCTTTTATAATTAAAATGTTCATTTCCCACTAATTGTCATGTTATTTCACATTGTTGGACTTCAAGAAAAAAAACAACAAAAATGAACAAAACATACCTGATTTAACTATACGAAATAACCTTAAAGGTTTCTTTTTAGAAACAAATTTTTACGTATTTCAGATTAGCAAATTTCTTTTTTGCATGAAAGCTCGTTTTTTTTGTCTGCAACCAAGCAATCTTAAATGATTAGGATCTTAGAGGAACGGCAGGGACAACATACTGCCTCTTTAGGTGCTCAGATAACCATAATATTGAAAATCTAAAATTTCTTTGAGCCTAGCAAAAACACTTTTCTCTAGAAAGGTTGTGATTATTGTGTGCAGTCGAGGCTAACTACATGATATTATCTCAGAGGAATGACAAGGACAAAATACTGCCTCCTTAAGAGCTTAGATAACCATAAAGTTTAAGATCAAAAGTTATTCTCTGGAACTATTATTTTTCTTTATGTTTTCTAAAAATTGGATTTTCTGGCAATTTTTGAAGACCTCTAACTAATTTATAAGTAGAACAAATCCTAAAAACTTACTGTGAAACGTTACCTAACAACTGCTTTATAATTTGACAGAGTTTCAGCAAGATTCATAATTTAGAAGTAAAGTTAAAGGTCTTCAAACTTGCAAAAAAATCAGTTTCGTGTTTTTACGGATTGTTTTTTTTTGCCATTTTTGGAGACCTCTCACTCAATGAATCTTCGCGATAGCTCAATTATTTTGATGTCACACAAAACTCATATCAAGGTTTATACTATGAAACAGTTTTGTCAAAACTCAAAAATTAGGAAAAAATTACATGTCCTCAAAATTGTAGCAAAATGGACACTTTTCGACTGTTTTAGAGTTTTTTGCAAATTTTGAGGACCTATAAATCCTTAAGTACTTGAGATATCTTAATGATTTTTTGATATTTTGTTATCATCGCAAATACTCATTGTTTAATTAAGTATGAAGAATGTTTTGATTTTTAAAAAGTTCGTTGGATGTTCTCAAACTCGCCAAAAAAAAATTGATTTTTATCAACTTCTTTAATTTTCGAGAATTTTTTAAGATTTTTTAAGACATTGAAAAAACTTTATTTAAGTTTATTACATTATTACATTTTGTTATCATCGCAAATACTCATTGTTTAATTAAGTATGAAGAATGTTTTGATTTTTAAAAAGTTCGTTGGATGTTCTCAAACTCGCCAAAAAAAAATTGATTTTTATCAACTTCTTTAATTTTCGAGAATTTTTTAAGATTTTTTAAGACATTGAAAAAACTTTATTTAAGTTTATTACATCCTTTCACAGTTTTGAAAGAAAGAAACTGGGAGCTTTATCACGTGAAAAAAAAGTAATATTTAAAGAAAATTTGAAACTTAGCGTTTTTTCTACGTTCCCATTCATGTCATATCTCAACAACCAAAACGGAATATGAAGTCGGATTTTTCTTTAGAAGCTCTTTCGCAACAAGTTGTAAAGTCGGCTTCTATTCAATTTTCCTGAAAAATTTTGTCTATATATCGAAAAAAATCATTTTTCTCGCTCTTTCAAAATTATCAAAAACAAAATTATCAAAAGTGGGCCTTTTTTTAGAATATGGGATTTTTCGTAACTCTTCACTCAATTTGAGATATCGAAATGATATTTTTTTTATTTATGGCATCAAACCGGTTTTCGTAAACAAAAAACTGGGAGCTTTATCACGTGAAAAAAAAGTAATATTTAAAGAAAATTTGAAACTTAGCGTTTTTTCTAGGTTCCCATTCATGTCATATCTCAACAACCAAAACGGAATATGAAGTCGGATTTTTCTTTAGAAGCTCTTTCGCAACAAGTTGTAAAGTCGGCTTCTATTCAATTTTCCTGAAAAATTTTGTCTATATATCGAAAAAATCATTTTTCTCGCTCTCTCAAAATTATCAAAAACAAAATTATCAAAAGTGGGCCTTTTTTTAGAATATGGGTTTTTTCTTAACTCTTCACTCAGTTTGAGATATCGAAGTGATATTTTTTTTATTTATGGCATCAAACCAGTTTTCGTAAAAAACAATGGGGGAAAAAGCTAGTGAAAAAAAGTTAGAGGGAAACAAGAAGTAGGAAACAGCGTTTTTTCCAAAGAAAATGTAGCTCCAGAGCCATATCTCAACAACTGAACAGAAACCCGACGTTGAATTTTTTTATAAGCTCTATCACAGACACGGCAAAACTTAATTCTTTAAAAACTTTTTGTTTCGAGAACGTCTTCATTTCGAAACAAAGGCTTTTAGTGGTTTTCTGATGCTCAAAATGAGCACACAATTTTGGTAAGTTTTTATCCCAGTTTTTGATATCAATCTTAATTTTTTCGACAAATTTCGAAAATCAGTTTTTTTATCTGGGTTAACTTAGCTCTGGACTGACTTTCAAAAACAATTATCGGCCCATTTTCTTCCGAAAAAAAAAGATATCAGCCGCGATTTATGGTCGAAAATTGCGTTTTTCTGGAAAAATAGTACATTTCTTTCTGAACAACTTTTTATAAGAATGTTTTTATCACATGCAATTTTTTCCATGGTTCGGCGCGTTAAAACTTCGTTCTACAAAGTATGCATTGTCTTTGCATAAAAATTTCGTCTTCATGCCGGAAAAATGAATTTAGTGACTCTCTGAAGCTCAAAATGGAAGGTGGTTTTTTGGTCAAAATTTTTTTTCGTTCCGGTTGAGCTTTGTTGGGTAAAACGTTAAGTACGTGTTGGAAAATTGCATTCGTCTCTTATTTCACTCAAAATTCAGTTGCTTAATTTGAAAATTCAGATTTAAAGGATAGTAAAAATAGGGTTGAAAATTGTTGAAAACTTACAAAAAATTGTGGGGTGGTAGTGTAGTTGTTGCTCTTTATGATGCAACAGACCACACAGAGCTATCTATCGCTGCAAAATTTTTCAGGCATTTTGAAAAGTATGCTAAAAATCAAAAAACTGGTTATTGATTCAACTTTGAGACTCCATAACTCTTTGAAAAAAAGTAGTATAGAAATTAAAAACACTTCAGTGGTTAGTTCATAGGAACTTCAGTGCGCTTTTTGAGCTTTATGCTGCTTTCAGTCAAAAAAAGTTATGGGCTTTCAAAAAGTCCAAAAATACC